GGCTGGGGAGAGTGGGAGAAGGACGGTCAGCATGCCCGTGGGGGTGGGCTGACTCCTTGCCTCTGTGCACACTCCCAGGGGTTGGGGAGGCATGTGCCCCACAGATATGTGCATGGGGTGGTGGTGAGGGTGGGCTGTGGGCTCAGGGCTCCCTGCCCTGCTGCCCTCCCCCCCAAGGGCTCCGCGGTGGGACCCAGCGTGGCAGGGCAGAAGCTCCTTGCCACTGCAAGCCCTACATTGCTCTGGCAAAGTGCCCTTTGTCTGCTCAACAGCAGTGGGGGGAAGTGGCATAGAGTTATGGCCCTTGTTGCAGCTGGGTGGGCTGGGGGTACGGGGCTTGCAGCAGCAAGGAGCTTCCCCTGCTTAGCCTGACACTGCCCTGCCACTCTGGGTCCCACCTGCTGGGCTGCACAGGGCATGCGGGGAGGGCAGCAGGGTGGGGAGCTCCGAGTCTGCAACCACCAGCCTGCATTTGCCCCACCCCTCCACCCCTCAAAGGCTCTGCTTTGGCTGTGCCACTTGTGAGGAAGCGAGAGCTGGGTTCTGCACTCTGCTCTGTTGCAGGAGCCACCACCTCCTGTGGGTGGCAGTCAGGGCTTGGGCACTGCTGCGGGGGGCTGCAGGCCTGGAGCTGGGGTTCCCCTCTGGCAGGGTGAGGGAGCTGTGGGTGTGGAGTGAGGGGCCTGGTCCTGTGTCCCAGTGAACTAAGGGGACAGGGAAAATTCCAATTTTTCCATGATAAACCCCAAATCAAATACGAAAATGTATAGGTGCTTAGAATTTACTTTATTATAGTGATTGGAGCACTGGTAGGCTTCCAAATTGCTTTAAAATTGTAAATATATTGATAAAACATTTGTGTTCAATTGATACCCATATATATAGTGGTGTTTCATTTTAATAACGGATTTAGGGGTTTTAATCAGGGAATTTTGTGTGTTTTATCAGATAATTTGCATTTTTTAAACTGAGAAAACCAGGATCCCTGATGATTACCAATGAGAATCCCTTTTGTTTAGGAGAATAAGTTAAAGCCAAATGAGCTAAATCAATCCACAGTTCTTAGCCTTATTTAAGAATATAATTCACTATTGATCTGGATAAAATCTATAACTATTATGCTATTGTTAAATACTCCCTCCTTCTAACTGTACTTCATTATGTATTAGATGTCCCAGCTCATGATGCTTGTATGCACTTAACTCAGTAACATGTGGCTGCTTGTTGGACAGAATCCATTATAAGCACTGGGAACTGTATGTATTTGAGGGTATGGGTGTACAAAGAAGTTCCTGGAAAGTAAGACAGGATGTGAATTTCCCCTCAGTAAAAGTGGGGCAAGATACCTCTTGTTTACCAGAAGGTAAGATCATAAGCATGGATGGGTATTTGTCACGAAGTAGCTGACATATTGGAGGCTCTTTTATTTCCCAGTAACTTGTAAACTTGAGACTCCAAAATGTGTCAAGAAAGATGGATGAATGCCTGTCAAGCTTTTCTACAGTGCCTTGCTAAAATGTCTCAGTCCTTAGGTTTGACAGACTTCCTGAACAGGAAAGTGGTACATTCTCCTGTCTGATCTCCAGTGGAGAAATGGAGGATGGAAACAGTTTGCTGAACCATGACCAATTTCTATAGATGCATTTCAGGCAGCTGTGGTGCTCAGGGGCCCCTGTCAGGATTTTAAGATCTTGTGAAATGCAGTACAAATAGAATCCCTTATAAGAACAAATAAAATTGGGTGAGGTGCCTGCACTAAAGAACTTAAAATCTAATTTCAGTCCCATATTATACTTTTATGTCTATTAAAATAGTAGCCCTGAGAAGTGGTTTGCTCATCTGCTGAGAGTTAAACCAACTGCTGGGTTTGGTTTCAAGAATGAATTTACCCCAGGGTCAGACTTGGCAAGGTCTTTTGGGTAGTCTACCTCCTAGGAATATTTGGGCATTTTTAACTTAATTCTTAGCTATTGCAGAGGTACAAAGCATTGATGGTCCCCTTGATCTCTCCTGCTCTCTTTTTGTGGCACATGGTAGTTCTAGAAGCCTTTGACTCCTTGGTCTAAAGATCCTGTCTGTGAGGGGGTATTCTGTGCGAAGGGCCATAGTGCAGTGGTCAGCAACCTTTCAAGGCTGTGGACTGCGTTGATCCAGTTTGAGTCAGAGGCGGGCATGTGGTAGGATCCAGCTGCTGCCGCTGCTTTTTCTCATGGCAACACAGGAAAAGCGCCTGCTGATTCCTCTTTTTTTCCCCTGTTGTGGCACATCCGCAGGCCAGAACATATAGCTCTAAGGGCAGGGGTCAGCAACCTACAGCCATAGTAGATGCTTTTGTAGACCCTTTTGCAATTATCATTTTATATGTTTGCTTGTGGCTACAGGGGGATCCTGGGGGATTAGGTAGGGTCCTAATATTTTATGTGACTGTATGATGTTCAGTTGGATGTTTTTAAAGTTTCTAGACTGGTGTTTCTCAGGCTGGGGAGCATACACCCTTGTAGTGAACATACAGCATGTATGCCAAAAAAAAAAGTTGGAAGGGGAAATTATAAATGGATCAGGGTCAGCTCTCATTCTCCTGGGAGTTGGCCTCTACTGCTCTTGTTTAATTGCAGTAAGATGCTGTAGCTCTGTTCTGAGATTTAAGGTTCAGACTACTGCTGCGTGATTTAAATATTATTACAGCAATATTTAAATACAGGCCGGGGGGTTTTTTGTTTTTATTTTTTGCAAAACTCTAGTTGGTCTAATAAAAGATATCACTTCTACCACGAGTTCTGATTACAGTACCACTGTATTTTTGCTCAAGTGTTCTCTGAAGACTTGATATTCTTTGGTTTTTGTTGTTGTTTTTTCCGTGAGGGCTTCTTGTATTCCTATCTTGCAGAACTGGGACTTTTGGCTCTGCAGCTGCCTTGAGCTCAAGCTGGGTTCTCAGTTTCCAGGCTCCACCCTGTGCAGTGACTCTTCAGTCTTCCAGCACTATGGCAGGGAAACTGAGAGCCCTTCCAGGCTCCTTGGTGCGAAGTCAAGCTGGGGTGGTCAGCTCTTCATTAAAGCTTTAACAAATAGACTAACATTATAGGATTCTGGGTAGATTTTAAATGGGATAAGTCTACTGCTTTGTTTACTGACTGCTTAAACTTTGTGCAGATATAAACTGTGCGGTTAATAAATGCATAATGCATTTGGCCTGTCTTAGTCTCAGGACTCCTGCAGTGTGTGTGTATGCATGCTGAGTACATCTGAAGTTTGATATTATCTTCTAACCTGGGAAAAATGATAAGTTGTTTTACATGCATAAAGAACTGAAAAGCTTAATGTGTAAGTAGACAAAACAGGGTGTATGGTGAAAAGGAGGCAGGGAAGTGATGTGCCCAGCAAATCAATAGCAGAACCAGAAAGAAGAAATCAAATTAGATTGTAAAATAGTCTAACAGAACTATATTATATTCCTTTAGATTCTGAAAGGAGACTGCCTATTTGGAAAAACTACAATATATATACAGTGAATCACTACACGATTGCCATCTTTGTTCTCCAAAACCCATATAGGTTACAGGATCTGACAGGATTTTGATTGAAAACAACTTAAAAGTTATTTTTTTCCTACTGCTTCCATAAGTCTTTTGAATGTAGAGCTCATTCTTTTTTTTTTCCTTTTTTTCTTTTTTCCACCCCAAAACTTTTCACTTCCCAAATATTTGTCCATATTAGTCATTTTTTTTCTTATGTAGAGCAACATACATGAATCTGCTTTTAGGAATCCTCATCTCAGTGACAAACGCCCTAGCAGTTGTATTCAAGTGTATATTTCATTAGGAAGCACTTTTTCCCATTAAAAATATATTTTTGCTATCTAATTCAGGTGTATTTTAATTGACAAGCTCAATCTTTTGCTCTTCCATTCAGTTGTTTGTGACATACACTTCTTTTGTTTAGTGTGAAAGATATGTGCTCTGGCAGAAGAGGGCATTTTGAACACTTTTTCAAAATGGATAACAGTGATATAGCTCAGCAAAGAGCTATATCTATGTAGTTGTTGAGTGGGTTAATTTTCTCCATGTCCTTTCTAGATACAGCACTTACTAAACTCTTCGCTCTACCATATTATGCAAAGCCTCACTTAATTGAAGTTGTACTAATAATAAATATGCGGTTTCTCTAGAATCTGCGTGTGTGGATATCCTCGCCAACAAGTGAGAAAATACAAAGGAATAAGTAACAGGATTCCAGTTTCTTCTGAATTCATGGTCCAAATGCTAACTGGGATTTATTATGCCTTGTAAGTTTACCATAAGCTTGTACTCTGTTTAGAAACATGATAGCTTAAGTTGCATGTGGCTATACCCTTTCAAAATTTAATTTGATTGGCAGACCTAATCAAATGTTCTGGAGTATAGATTCTTATCTTGATAGACATGCAAAATTTGTATACTATTTGCTGTGATTTAGCATACCCAGGATGGGGAAAATACCACCTGGTAAACTTAATGAGATCAGAATATCTGTGAACAGCTACTTGAAAATGGTACTTATGCAACATTTGTCTTGTATGTGTTAAATTTGAGTTGACCAATGTGTGTACAGTTTTAGAAAATTAATCTTGCATTTTTTCATTTCCCATATTACTCCTTTTCTTACCATCAGTCCTATTAGGATCTGTGTGTGGTCATGGGTAACTTGTAACTACTTTTGGAATTATTGTATTAACTCCTACAAACTTGATAATATTTGACCAATATTCAAAATGTGGCAGAGTACTGTTGAACCTATTGTGCTAAAATGCCACAACTTTATTGGATATGTACCTAAAACTAATTTGTTCAGAAGTATAAGTGGTTGAATATAAGCACGTTTATTTTGAGTCTGCGGTTTGTTTATTTATTTTTTATAAAATTAAAAAGTCTATAAGAATTGTGCTTTGTTATACTACTTGTCTTTATAAACAGTAAAGTTAGGGATTCATCAGAACTGATTTCTGAGGGAAGTGTACTAAATGTTTGAAAACAATATAATCAATAGAAAACTATACCCTACTGGAGATAATCTAACAAGTTTGCAGTCTTTAGGAAAAATAAATTCATATGGTGTGTGTGTGTGTGTGTGTTGTTTTTTTAGTTATAATGGAGAATGGGATCTGGCTCGTAAAGCTATGGATGATGTTTTGTATAGAGCCCAGCTGGAATTGTATCCAGAACCACTTCTGGTAAGTACCTGCCGGCTCCTCCCCTCAACTCCCCTGTAAAATTTTTAATTCAGAGCTGTTACACTCTAAGTCATCCTGATTATGCTTATGATTTAGCACTACAGCAGAGAATTATAAGCTTATAAAACATCACTTACACTGCCTATACTAAAGGTGTTTGGAAGCTTGTTCTTCGTGTGTGCATTTAACCATTATAAATAAAGCTTACAGCTTTCAGAAGTTAGCACAAAAACACCCTGAAGAATATTTTTAGTTTCCATTTGAAAAGATGGCTATTTATTGTCACAACAGTTACTTAAGGCATTGTGATGATACTTTTCAAATTTCACTGAATTTACATCACCTAAAGTAGGTATAATTGCAGCAGTTTTCTCTCTTCAGAACTTTGAACAATACAGTCACATGAACTCAAATTGCACACAGTTTTCCAAGAGTAGTAGAATACTTTAGGACCATTTACAATAAGTTACTTCTATTAGAATTCAAATCTTAATGTTAAGAACTTCACCCACATTCTTCCTCTCTAGGTTGCTAATGCAATAAAGGCTTCACTGCCTCAAGGTGCCATGAAATCTAGTAAAGAAGGTACTAGGTGCATTCAGGTTGAAATTACACCTACTTCATCTAGAATATCAAGAAATGCTGTGACTAGCATGTCTATCCGGGGGCATAGATGGAAAAGACATGGTAAGAAACATTGTTTGCCTTTAACTTTGAACTTGTATTAGGGCTGCATTTATCATTTAAAATAGCCTTAATTTTTAAAGCAGCACAGGGAATTTAGATACTACTATTTTTTGTTTAATCATTATAAGAAAGAGTCTCTTAAGTCACAGTTGTTTCTTTCTCTTAAGAGAAGTACTGGCATTATTAATACAGGTCCAAGGGGATTTGCTGGAAACTTAATTAGGTAGTGAATGTTGTACACTTGGATATCTGAATCATTATCCATTCTCTTTTGCTGCCTTGAATCTGGCTACCACCAGTTAACTATACCTGTTTTTTCCTGACTCAGTGGTTTTCAAACTGTTCCATGGAACCCTGGGGTTCTGCTATAGATCATCTCTGTAAATTGTGCTGGAAGTGCCCCCCACAGCAGCTCCTTTAATGTTTTTCATTTCACCACTTAACCCCTTGTTCTTGATTGGCAGAGGTGTCCCATGCCTGGGCCATTTGCCAATGATCACCGGGGAAGTGAAAACCACAGCACATTTAAAACCGCGGTTTTTGCTTCCCTGGTGGCCAATGGTGAACAGCCCAGCTGGTGGGGCCCCTCCAGGGCAGCAAGCAATGAAATGAAAAACATTAAAGGAGCTGCTACGGTGGGCACTTCTGGTGTGATTTATGGAGATCCTAGTGATCGGGGGTTTCGCAAAGAGATTGGAAGTAATGACAGAACAGTCCAGGAGGCAGTGTGCTGCCATTGTTGGGCTGGGTCACCTGGCTCCACAGTGGGGGTAGAGGTTTTGTGGCAGATGTCATGAAAAATTTCTGTCTGTGACTTTAGGAAGTTTGAAAACCACTGTCCTAACTGTGGATGAACATATTTGATGAAGTTCTGGTGAAATTTTACAATTCTGTTTCCAAGTGCTCATGTTTTAAACTGAAAAATGGGATTGTATAAAACTCTTGAATCTGATAGACTGGTTACATACAAGCTCTTTATAGATGCAGCTGTTAAACATCTGTGAAGTTCCACATGTGTCCAGTATAAAGTGGTTACACTTGCACTGACCTAAGTAATTTCTGGTAGATAATGTATTTCTGCAGAATCTTAGGTAGATGCTCTAAGGGTAGAGCAGGAGAAGGTTCATGTTATGATTGTATTAATTGCCGTGGATAGAATGAAAGAAATAGTAAAAAAAAAAAAAAAGGTCACTGACCTGAAGTAGTCTTCCAGAAACCTGGACACTTAATGAACAGCTGCAGAACCAGAAGCTTTAATCCACACTCCATCCTCTGCCTGCTCCATTCTGAGGAGGAAGAGAAAATGGACCAGAGATCAGAATTGCTATATTGATTGGATTGTCCTTGCCTTGGGTCTGAATAGGGTTGAAGTTCACCAAGTTACATTTTTTTAATTATAATTGACATTTTCACTTGTATATGATGTGCTCAGTGTTGGTCTTACCATGGATATAATCATGAGCTGTTTAACTAGCAATAAAATTATGACCATTAAAAACAAACAAACAAACTGTAGGACTTGGATAAAAAAAAACCTTGTCTCTCTTGCTGCTGGTTTTTTTTTTTTTTTTTAATCTACAAAACACTTGCTAATGGCTATGAGTAAGTAGAGTAATGTAAATTTGAACTAATACCTATATTAAGGTCTCAATGAAAAATATTTAAAAAAAAGCAAAGCATGTTTGTCAAAAAGGGCTGTTTATAGTCAAAACACAGTCAGAGGATAGACTAGCAGTTTTTTTTCTCCTCTGAGTCCCAATAGCCATTGCTCACTCAGTAGGAATGGCTTTGGTATTAATTCAGATTTGATGATGCAGCTGAATATAGACCAGAGGGCCTGGATCTGTTATCTCCTTCAAAAGGACTGAAGACAAATGATTGTAGATTTAATGTGGGTTTCTGTCACTATGGGTAATATAGAATAAATATATGGACTATAGGACCAATGTTGGGTCTTCATGCAGTTCTTATCTTTGCTGAAGTGTCAGCACCTTTAAAGATTGCAGTCTGTATGGAAATCATGCTTTGATATTGCCTTCTTTCAGGGGTCATGCTTGATGCAGATGGTGAAGTTCAAGAGACAATGGGTGGGACATATGTGTGCTGCAGCAGATAACAGTAAGGCAAGAGGTGTTTGGTAGTGTCAGATTTCAGTAAAAGCTAGAAAAAACTATTTTCTTATGACTCGATGGTTCAGGGAAGCATAATTTTAACCTCCATGCTAGTTGATTGGTGTATTCAAAACAAGGTATGATAGCTTTTGTGGGGAGAGGGAAATAAGATGGACACAAGGATTTGTGGTGATGGTGGTAGGGTTTGGGGGTTTTTCCCTTTTACAGGTGGGGGGCCAGGAACACTTGTCAAAGTAACATTTGATTCAGTGAGGAGACTTCAATTTGGGACTCCATGGGTGCTGGCAACCAGGGGGAAGAGGTTTAGTAAGGGGTGAAAACAACATTTCAAATGAGACCTTTTGCACCCAAAAATGCTTTTTGGGGGCTGTCTGCGTGGGAGGAGAGGTACATTTGGATGGCTAGATGTTTCTTTGTTCCATATGCCAAAAGTGAGCCTACATTGTGTTGTCAATCAGTGTGTTTTGGTGGGGGTTTTTAATGGCATGGGCTCTATAGATTAAACCAACCTCTCTTCAAAAATCTTATTTTTTAAATTCTATCAAAAAACTTGACTATTGTTGTCAATAGCAGCTCCCTTTTCAACCATCTCTCTGTCTATGTAGCAAGTTTCCCCCTCACTGTGAATTTTTGTAAACATTCCCTGAGAGACAGTCATGGAGGCAAGGTGCCATAACTCAGCAGAGAACTTGAGTAGCATTGAAAAGAACCAGATGCTGCAGACAGGGAAGAAGGAAATGAGTAAGTTCTTTAAGGAGTTGTGTAGAGTAGGGATCTGTAACCTATGGCCCACAGACTGGATCTGGCCTGCAGAACCTTTAGATCTTATCTGCGGATGTGGGGCTTTTGCACCATTCAGCAGCTGGGGGGAAAAGCGGGGAGGAAAGGGGGTTGTGGTTGCAAGTGCTTTCCCTGCCCCATTATGGGGACAAGTGCAGTAGGGTCCTAGCTCCCCCCTACCCTTTCATCTCTAATCTGGGGTGGGTCATTTCAGCCTGCAGCTGAAAAGGGTGTAGTGTAGTTTGAATTAGGATGGCCATTTGACTTGGTAGAGAAAATTGAAAAATTTGGGAACATTTGCCATCTGTTTATGCCTCTTGCTTAAGTGTAGAAAAAAAGGAGTTATGAGATTTTAGCAATAACGCAGGCCAAAGAACTTAATAAAGTGTTACATCTGTCCACTGGTAATTAGACAGGGATCAAATGCACTTGAAACAGACCAACATTTGGTCACAAATGACTTGGTTTCCCTGCAGATGATAAACATTAAAGCAAATGGATTAGTTCCACTGTTGGTCTTCAGTATTTATACTTAAGTGCAAGTTTGTAATAATAGTTCTAGCTCCGTCCACAAATAGAAAAAAGAAGGAAAATTCTATACTGGTTGTAAACTTTCTGAGTTTTTTAATTAAAGAAATAGGTATAGACCTAAAGAAAGAAATTAAAATAAATGTTATACTAATGAAGTGTTGCCAGAACTTTTATATCTCACCTACAGAAGTGAATCTATTTTATGTAGAAACATCAATTGAAAGGTATCCTTTGTGTTATGAGACCCGATGTATATTTACATAAATGACTGAATAAAAACAAGCAAGTAGATGTTTGTGGAGCACCCAGCAAAAAAGATGACCTTTGAGCGGAGAAAAAATAATGCTATTCTTGGAATACTAAGCATTATAGCATGAAATAGGAATGGAAAAGTTTTTAGGGCCAAATTAATCTTTTGAATCTTGTGAAGTGGGGGGGGTATTTTCTCAGGATTTTTAGCATTTCTAAATACCACCATTCAGCTTTACAAATAACCTATAATGATAACCTTTTGTGGGAAACAGTTGTGTATTATTACATTTGTGATAGCATAAGTTAATAGACAATTTTGCTTGTAAAGAACTCAAGATTCTACATGCTGCACAGTTTAGCACCTACTTGATTGCAAGACTGGCTAACAATAGTTGGGTAGTTCGCTGACTTACTGTATGTACTGGAATCTAAGATGACCTTGAATTTAAGATGATCTTCCAATAATTAGATTTTATACGTAGATTTTTTAAATATAATTTTTCCATCTATAGAATCTAATTATTGGAGGGTCATCTTTAATTCATGCCCCCACTGCTGCAGGGGGCAGGTGACTTGGGGAGGTTAAGCAGCTTGCCCTTCTGCCATATCTGCCTCCTGCCTGCTCCCTCTCACAGCTGCAGGCCACCCCCCGTTCCCTGCTGCTCACCCTTAACCCCCCCGCCTTC